GAGGTGGCCTGGCTGGCACACACGCCGGGCGTCTCCGCGCAGCAGGGCTCAGGGCATCAGCTGCAGTCCTGGGGGGCGGCTCGGTACAGGGCAGAGAGCAGCTTGTGGCCCATGCCCTCTGGCTGCTCCTGCAGGTGGCCTGGTGCAGGGAGTGGGGCTGGATTGGCAGCCCCTGGGCACGGAGCCTTCCCTGGGGGGCCACTGTCCAGAAGGAGCGAACCACAAAGCTCCCAGACCTTGCCCTGGAAAGGAGCAGCTGCAATCAAACCCCCAGGGCCCTCTGCTCCCCTGCCCCTCCCAGCAAACCCCACGCTGCTGGGCACTGCCAGGCACTCCCCTGGCAACCTGCCGGTGCAGCCCGTGGGCCAGGTCCGGGCACAGGGAAGAGACACCGGCTGCCCAGCCGCTGGGGCCCCAGGCATGGGGGGAGGCCCCGGCAGGACGGGCTGGGAGGGCAGGGAGCGGGCCGCAAGGCATGCGCGTGGCTCGCCCAGGCTCGGCGCCGACCAGGGCCCAGCCCGCCCCTTTCACCACACACCAATGGCTTCTTCCTCCCACCCCCAGGCACAGGTGCCCCACAGACGGGCCCGGCCCACGGTGGGGAGGGGGAGCTCGGCCGGCAGCCCGGGTGGCTTTCCGGCCCCTATTCCTTTGCACGGGGATGGCGCCGGGCTGCGAGAGCCGGTCGTCAGGCAGGATAGAGCGAGCGCCAGGGCTGCCAGTGTCCGGTAGGGACCCGACAGGCCGGTACTTCCGCCTCCTGTCCGGTAAAAAATCGGAAAATACCGAACCCCTGAAACGTCCGGCACTGTCGGATCGTTTTCCCTGCCAGGAGGTGAAAATACCGGACACCTGGCAACCCGGCCACACGCAGCAACCAGGCCCAGCCCCGTTCCTCGCACCCCGCTGGCCTGCTTCCGCAGGGCAGCTGTCTTGTGGCATGGAGGAAGACAACAAGATGGCTGCCGGCAAAAAAAGCCTCAAAGGCCTTGAAAAGGGCTGGGTTTTGGAATTAACATTTTTTTTTTTTTTTTGCTCAATAACTTTGGCCTCCCCCTTTTTTTTCTCCACGGTGTTTTTTGGGGGGGGGGGGGGATGGTGTTTTTCGGTATTTTTGGTTAAACCACCTGGCAACCCTAGTGAGCGCTAGTGCCAGGGCAGGCCGGGGAGCGGGAGCGGCTGGATGCCGAGGCCAGGCCTGCCCTGCAGACAGCCGCCATGCTCCGGGCTGAGAAACATCCCCAGCCCTGAGCCAGGCAGCGGGACGGCGCCGAGGCCTGGCGCGGGCAGCGCTGTGTTGCCAGGGGAGCGTCTCCCATCGCCATAGCTACCGCCTCTCGGCGAGGCGGATTCCCTGCGCCTGCGGAGCAGCATCGTCCCTCGCGGGCTGCGGTGCACAGACCTGCCCTGAGGGCGCACGCAGGGCCCAGTGCCTGCTTCTAACCCCCCCGCCAGGACCCTCTCCGGGGGTGTCCAGCCCCAGGGACGGCGCTGAGACACGTCTGCCCCTCCCCCAGCCGGCGTCTGTGGGGCTCATGGCATTGTGAGCTCCCTGGGCAGGTGTGAGGATGTGCAGCCGCCCCCACCCATCCCCGGGTTTCCAGACGCTCGGGGGCCTACGGGCACAGCTGCACCGCCGCAGGGCCCCACGCTGCCTGCCTGCCCACGCCACCCACCAGGCTGAGGACACCAGCGAGCCTGCTCTGAAACCCGGCAGCCACAGCCCCTCTCTGACTGCTCAGCACTTACACCTACCCCAGGTGTGCTTCCCACCTGAATTCCTGGCGCCACCGCTGAGTCCTGGCGCCAGCTGCTGCTCTGACCACTAGGCGTGACCACCTCCCCCTGGTGCCTTGCTCAGGGATGTGGCATGCTGGGAATGCGGGGCTCTGGCAGCAAAGGCCGGGGGAGAGAAATGGAATCGGATTGTGTATCAAGGTGCTTGGCAGAGCTGTGGTTGGCGATAGCAAGTGTGAGATGTGGCACGGCGCTGGTAAAAGGCAGCAAGCTTACAGTGACGACAGGGCCGTAAGTTTCTGCAGTGTGGAATTAGCTGTGGAACTCATTGCTGCAGGGCATTACTGGGGCAAAGAGAAACTGAAGCTCAAGAAAGGATCCAGCCTGCATGTGGATCTCTGTAGTGATGGGAGCTGGGCTCTCAGGACAGGGGCTCTCAGCCCTCAACTTCGACATCACCTCCCCAAGCTGCTGGCTGCTCTCTGAAATGTCTCCCTAGCTGCCTGCATCTGCAGTGCTCTGGGCCCAAGCCAGAGGCCTTATGGTCTGGCTCCTGGCCAGAGAGTGCAGGCTCCTTCCTGGGCGTGGCTGTCGGCACCTTGGCTGTCGGCGGTGCCGGGATGGGGGTGTGTAGCGATGCCAGGCCGGGCCTGGCTGGGTGTGGGTGGGAGGTGGGGGTAGGGGCTGCAGGTCAGCACAGGAACAGCAAAGAGCAGAGAACACAAGATCCGGGTCTGTAGTGCAGGTCCCAGACCCCCGGCCCCGGAACCCAGACACCCCTCCCCCTGCACACCTGGCTCCTGCCCGGGCGGGTCCCAGCCGGCGGAGGCTCTTCTTGTTCAGCCCCTGGGCGCATGCTGGGCTGTGCAGCGCACCATGAGCCCCTTCGCCCGTGTGGCCCGTGAACCACGGGGGGGAAAGGAGGCGGGACTAGGTGTAGTGCAGGTCCCAGACCCCCGGCCCCGGAACCCAGACACCCCTCCCCCTGCACACCTGGCTCCTGCCCGGGCGGGTCCCAGCCGGCGGAGGCTCTTCTTGTTCAGCCCCTGGGCGCATGCTGGGCTGTGCAGCGCACCATGAGCCCCTTCGCCCGTGTGGCCCGTGAACCACGGGGGGGAAAGGAGGCGGGACTAGGTGGCCCAGCGAGCTGAGCTGATCAGCTGCGGCTGGGCCCTCCTCGTCCGTGCCCCC